CCCCCCCCCCCCCAGTTCTCCCACTCCTCACTAAAATAGCTGGCTGAATGAAGATGTTATTTCAACTTCTACAGACTGATGAGGGCCTCAACACCAAATAACTAACAGAGAGGGGCTGGAAGCACTGCCGAGTGTCAGCATGTCGGGAGCTGTGTTACAGCTAGAGGCCTTTGAAGTCAGTCCGAACATGTTGCTACAGACAGTCCAGACTCAGCCTTTAAATTATTTGTCTGAACTGACTACATACGACATGGGCTTATAACAGAGGGTCTGAAGTATTTTCTGCAAAAAAAATGATGAGCAAGTTGGAGAGCTTTGATTTTTATTTATTTTGTTCTGTGAATGGGTGACCGTTTTTCTTAACTTTCTAGGGCTTTTGTCCAAAGCGTGTCCATTCATGTGCAATTGTGGGCCTTTACACAAGCACCAAGGAGCTTTAATGGCTTCAGGATATATTAGACCGGTCTAACATTTCAACTTCTTTTAACAGCCATAGTAGTACACATGTCATATCGCAGACAGATTTATGATTGCTATAAACTAAAACATGCATCTCAAACAATGTAAAAGCTGGCAGCCCAGTTTAACTACTTATTGCAGATGGTTGGCTTGAAAGACAAGTATATCTGCTTGATTGGGATCAAGTGCTGTTCCCTTGTTATTTACAGTAGTACTTGGGTATCTCCACCAAAGCAGTGGGTTGCTGTCTGCAGAGAGAGGGCTGTCCTTCGTGTAAGCTTGCGTCTCCTGAATGGCAACCATGTTACATTTCCAAAAATCACTGGATTTCTACAAGTCCCCAAACCGGCTAACATGTTTCCTAACTGTGCATATAAATAAACACTTTGACCCTTGACCTTGAATCTTGCCTAGCATTTGAAGATCTCTCTTGTTCCAATGGAGTGTTTCAACAGGAACAGTGACCAATGTTGCTGCAGTGTGAGAAGAGGTCACAGTTTGAAGCTGCCACAAACAATGGGATTGGTTGAATTTAGTTGAACTCTTGAAATTACTGGATCACAAAATGTTGAAGGGTCTGATTATTCTGTCATGCTTTGTCACAAAGATGCAAAAGCCTATGTCATGTTAGTAAAAAAGTGATTGTAATCTGGTCTGTGTTGTTCCTTTTTCCCAGCCAGGGAGAAGAAATCCAGAGTTGACCATCTGACTGGGCAAGAGGGCTGTCAATCAAACATTGGTTTACATCAGGTATGTTCTGTGCTCGCATTCTTTCTAGTTGAAATACACCAAAGTGTATATTTCGTGAATTGAAATTGAGGAGCAAATAGGGTTGTATTAGCTGAATCTAATACTTAAACTCAGCGGTATCTTTTAATTTTATTCACCAAATTGCAAAGTAGGACCAACAGTGAATCACATTTTACAAATAAACATCTTTAACAGCAATGGGAAAACATCTAAAAATAGTGATATGGCGTCAGCAGGATGTGAGGCCGAGGTGTCTGTGTTGTGACACTCAATCCCTCTGAGCTGCGTTGCCAGTGCATGCCACGCTGTTTTCTCTCTCCATGCTGCCACTGTGCCGCTAACATGGCGCCTCTCTCTGTTTCCCCACTCGTCATACACTCATTAGTCCCTCCAGGATCTTGCAGAGAAGGCTTCACTAGTGACAAACCCAAAGATAATGATCACCAACTGTGCATTTCCCCTCAGCTCTGCAGTGGTGATTGTTTTGGTTATTATGGCTCGCAGCGCTC